CCTACGTGCAGATTTCAAAATGCTACCCTACGCACAGAGATTTCCACTTCCCTGAACGCCAGCTTCTCTCATCAGAATCGGCTCAGACAGGGGGCCTGTATTACCCACTCTCCTCAGGAACCATTTTTTATATTCTATAAAGAAGCAGCAACAGTTCTTTCTTCACACAGTAGTAGTTCTCCTGTATGCTGGTTTGTACCCTTCTGAACAGGGTCTTCAGGTAATTAAAGAGCTTCAGTGAAAGAGCTGTACCGCACATTATCAAGTACTGCAATGAGGATGAAGATTAACTAGGTTTATGACTACCTAACTATATTCAAGTATACACTGAGGTTTTTTCCTGGATCACTACTAAGGTACATAACAAAGCCTGCTTTATAACTCCATTTAAAAGCTACAGAAAGATATAGCTAAATACAAGGATGTGTGGCAAAGCGGGGAAGTGGCTGCGAAAGGGTATGACAGCTAAAATGTCTTTAAATATGGTAATCCCTCACTCCTGCCGGCAAGTCCTAACAGCCAATGGAAAGCACAAGTTTAGATCCCTAATCGCTTTATTTGTGCTTTCCTAGTTTACAGCCACAGCAAAAATGAGCCTTTCGTCCATACTTGGTATCTGTGTTCTGCATCTTCCAGTTTAGCCCAGCTTTCGTCAGGTGAGAACACTGCAGTGCCCTTCAGGAAGCCGGCTACGCCGAGCTGCTTCTGCCCGTCTGCCAAAGCGCGACAGAGGCATGCTCCATGACAGCGGGAAAAAAGAGAGAGAAAAAAAATCATCAACTTCCGACTTCCTGACAATGCCACAGAACCTCATCTCTTCTGATGCCACTTCTGAAGACACTTAGATCGAAAAAGAAAAGGGCTTTATGATTGGAGTCAGAGACAGTTTCTTTATTGCTTATAAAGATGCAGCACTTGCCTTATAAGCAGAAAATTCTGACTCTGCTTCCAGCAAACAACTCACCTACTGAATGACTTAGGGTGTGTATGTCTGTCCACTTGTGCACAGCTGTACAACAGTGAATCAGCTTTTCAAATACATGGGACCAGACCACAGAACTGTCCAGAATTTCCAAGGCCATTACTGACAGTTTTGGCTCCAAAAGAAGATTCCCCTACCCCAAAAAAAGACAACCAAACCAATTTACTCTCTCCGCAGTGTGGACAGCCTGCATTTGAATTGTGAACTTTGAGAATTCCCACAGCCATTCAGACAGAGTGGTTGCTGGAGACTCTCTCCCCGCGCAGGCTGCAGTGCCAGAACCACGCAACCATTCAGTGACACCAGTCCAGAGAGCTCTGATTAAGCATACTTGAGACCCTGGGACTTCAGGTACAGCTGTTCATACATCAGATTGCTCCTTAAAGTGACCAAATCCTAAAATACCTCAACACCAACATCCTTTTCTACTTCACTAATTTCTTAAGTCAAGTAAGTGATGCTGGGGATTTCAAAACACATGAGAGATTACCTCCTGAACTCCACTGCTAGGAAGGCTGCTATAAATTAACTCTTATTTCAAGCTGTAACTGGAATGATCCCATTTGCTCACAGCACTCGGGAAATAACCACTCCACTTTGATTAGATTTCCAATACAATCTGAAGCTCTGAAATAAGGTGCACATTGAATCTTGTCAAATCCATCCGAAAATCTGACCAAATTAGCTTAGGGACCAAGACAGCCAAAAACTCTGACTTTCTAAGGCTGATGCAGTGCAAACTAGATTTCTTTTCATCATGCTAAGAGTATACAGTTAGAAAAACTAAGTTGTCCTGACCACCACTGAAGGTCTCCAACACCTTGATCTTAGAAGGTCAGGTTAATGCATTGCTGCAATAGTTGTGGCAGTTTCAGACACGACCCTTCCCCAGCTGCCATCTCCCTATGCCTTCCACCAGGAATCTGCACCCCAGTAGCATAAAGTATAATTATCTGAGGATACTCCTATGATTCCGAAGACCAGCTTAGTTGTAGATGGAAGTGGTTTGAGGAGTTTGTCAACAAAGGGGTTGGTTCCACGGTCTAAATCCGTGCTGCTGTGGTTCCTGTCGTCTTCCTTTCACCTTGACAATTCATTCACCGCACCTCCCTTTCGCCAACCCCAGCACTCAGATGATGCAACGTAAGCCAATCCAGAACCTACAGAAGCATTCGCACTTTTTTTGACAGGGAAGCAAGGATCTCGCCTCCTAAGGACAAGAGAAAACAGTGACCTACAGCTCTGGCTCAGCCTTCCCAGCTATTTCAGGAATGCTGTGTCCGGCCCAGATTTTTTACTATAATTTTTGGCAGGGTTCACAAGTGATACAACGCAAGATTCATTCAGCACAGAAGTTGCCAACTGCAGATATACTTCATGCAAGAACTGTCTTGAGTTAGGAATCTTCTACGCTGGCCTGTTATATCGGCTCTACATCTATTTTGCGTGAGAGTCTCTTCTTGCAGCCAAGAAAGATCCGGGCCATGGTGCAGAAGCATTTTTTTTGCCCAGGCCGGCATGCAGGTGTATGTATACAGGCACTTGGAATGAATGTTAGCAAGGGAAGCATGGAAATTTATATTGACAGAGGGGAGGGAAAGGGAAGAGGAAGAAAGAGATTTAGATTGAGATCCTGTTAAGGCCATCGGTAATACTGGCAGATTCCCAATAAAAGTGAAGTAGTCTATTATTCCATACACAGTCCATTCCTTTTCATTTTGCCAGTTTTACTACCCTTCAATTATTTCTCCCAATCATAATCCATAGACTCACTGATGGAAATCTCTATTTAAAATACAAAAATAAATCTGCATGCTGATCAACATCAGTGATGAAAAAGCAATTTTCACAGGACAGTTCGGATAAAGGGTGTGATCTACTCACAAAGTACTTTAAACAAAGGTGCTAGTGAAGTGACAAAACATTAACAACTGTTTTTAGGCTGAGTAATTTTTCCATTAAAATCTTACATGGGGTCTCCTGTGGCACTAGCCATAACTACTAGAAATGTCCATGGGTGTTTTGCTAATGAGGTTTTACAGTCAGGTGAGATCAGGAGCCAACTGCATAAGAAATGGAAGAGTTATTAGTCACACATCCAAGGGCAATCTCAACAAAGTTCTTTTAGAAATGTCACTACTCTCATGTCAACATTAGATGGCAGCAAATACCCATAAATTAATAAAGGGCAAAAATTTAGAAAACCGCACTAGAGTGGCAACTCTACACCACAAAGCCCTTCAATCTGCAGATCAGTATCAGCCCCAGAAAAAGAGGTGCTGAAGAACCCAGAGAACCTTTACTTCAGAACAAACAAACAAATCAAACCAACCAAAAAAAGCAAAAATCAAAGAAACTCATCAAGTGACATCCAAGGCCAAACTTTAAAGCAAAAGAATTACGTCTTAAAATGTTACATGGGAACTTCATGGCCATTGAAAGAAGTGATTTAGTGGCATCGCAAGAGGTTGGTTTGGCATTGCCAGCAGGGTCCTACGTGGCTGTTTACACTTTCTCCCCCCTCTCTCCGCAATGATTAGGAATTTGTGTAACTTCTACTACTACTGCGCACTTGAGCATTACTTGCCAGAATTTTAAGATACCAAAGACGGATTAAACTTCAATGTGACTGGCGTATTTCTCCGGTAAGAGAAAGAAACAGAACTGATATTTTGAAGTATGGTACTTCACTTTTTCCTTTGATTTATTTTTATTTTGTTTCACTCAGGAGTGAAAAACAAAAAGGTTACAAACCCAGAGTGAAGTAGGTGTGAAGGACTGTAAGTGACTGCCGGTATAAAATACAACAGATTCACCAGAATGGAAGAGGCTGACTATGCTTGTTCTGAGCATTTGTTAAATTGTATCCCATTCCTCGTGGTTTTCATTAAAGGCTACTGAATGTCTCAAGCATAAATTGTCATCTTTTATTTCCTGGATGAAACAATTTCTCTCTGCTCAAAGATGCAGCTGGAAACACGTCAGCGCTAGAGGGGGGCAGAGCATCACAGCAGGTGAATCCATCCCGCGCTCCCTTCAAAGGAGTTGCAACTGGAAAAATCATCAGCCAGAGGAACAATTTGGGATTCCCAGACTTACTGGCCTACCATGCTACAAGCAAATGCAAGATAGCAACCTTGCTAGAACAGATAACAAGGAAGCTAACTCATTTCACTAATATGTGTCACTACATTAGAGCTTCAGAATTTCAGGAATTATCTGACTAATATTTACGTGGGGATATAATAATAAATTTTTTTTAGCTCATTTTAGAGTTGCAGTAATTCTCAAGAGACATCCAAGCAAGCAAAATGCTTAAAAATACATCCCACCAACTCCTTAGAATGGTGCAAGACGGAAGAGATGCTGCTCAAGAAGACAGTGCACATTATGCCAATACATTCTTGATATCCCTTTTGGAAAAAGACCTTTTTTTCATTCCCATTTCAGTGCCTGACACAAGTCTTTGTTACTCAGGTTGCAACTCCAACATAACACCAAAAACTATTAAGTAACAACATAGAGAAAATTGGTTAAAGAGTAAGAGTTAAGCGTGTAGTAACCATTAAACACAGCTTTTTCATTGCATGGCACCAGTTCAATACGTATAAACTGCCAACCTACCTCCTTTCCGCAGCAGATAGATGGGCACAACATATAGCATCACATGCTGGATGTAATAAATTTCCATTTCAAATGGAAGCTGTGGAATAAGGAAAATATTTGTAAATGTTTTTCATCACTAGCAACTGAGTTACAAAGAACGATCTCCTTATGACCCATGATCGTCCCTTCAGTTCAGTTATTTTATCACCTCTGTATATTGACAGAGAGATGATGTTAATGGTCAGAGCTCTGAAAATGCAGCTAACTGTGCCCATTCCATTCCCCTTGCCACAAATGCAATGCAGCAATTCAGGCAGACAATTCTCAAAATCACCCAGAAGCACAACAAAGCAGGAATAACATAAGATTGCTCTTTTCCCTTTCTTAGCATATATCACCAATAACAATGCAAAACCCTCAAGTAATCAAACCAGAAACTAAACACAACCCATATGACAGTAGCCTATTAAGAAAGAAAAGATAACTGCTACCTTGTGAGCGATAGAACTCTATAAATGAAGTCTTTTATATATAAAAGCATATAAATATATAAAAGTAACTACTGAGAAGGCCCGTGCAAAAAAAATCAAAAGACCTGATTTATAGCAATCTGCGTGTATGTGTGAAACTGCTAAGCTTCACCAAATATAAAACAAAATATAAAATAACCAATATATTATTGGATTTAAAGAGAAGCTGCAGAAGGATGTACATAAACAAGTCACCAGCTAGTCGTAAATCAGGCATTTCTTACCTGCTGAGAACTTTTGAGAAATTATAATCAGTCATTTGTGTGTTTAGTTGAATTCAAGTTACTTCTTAGAGAAGAAGTCAGACAGGCTGTGCTAAAATAACACTGTGCTAAAAATAACTTGAACCACAACTCTGAGTTTAGTTTGAGTCCCTTAATCCATACCCAAATAATTCTAGCTCTTCACCAGTTAGAAAAGGCGATGCACTGGAATTGAAAGTTATTCCCATCTGCAGATGCCTTTGCCTGTATCTGTTTGTTAAACTAAAGCAGCTAAACTGAACAGTAGCAGAAAAGATTCAAACTCAAAATTCAGAACTCAACTTCTTGCAGCTCACTGACAAAGCTGAAAAGACACACTTTTCCATTATTTTTCAGAAGTGAAAACCGGACAACAGCAAGGCCCAAGTAGGAAATCCCTCAGGAATAACACAAAGCCATTAGCTTTGGTTCAAAGCCAGACTCCTTCGATCATTCTACAAGCTAAAGTGAATCCAGACACAAGTCCTACCGTTGTGGCTTGTCTGTTGGGAAGACAAAAAAACAGAAAAAGAAAAAAAGCTCTCCTTTTCCATTATCGTTCTGAGACACTGAAGTCACGGCGTTGAAACAGAAATGTTTCAAAAATTTCTACATCAGCAGAAGCAAACAGAGGTTGAAACAGAGTCTGGTTTTCTTCCTAAACAGCAGTCAATAAACAGCTGGTAATTAATGCAGTGATCTTCTAAATTGGACAACAATTCTTCTATTTTGAATGTAAAAGATGCTAAAACCAACAGCTGGATTCTCCTAGTCCTGACATCCCCTGCTGACCACCATCAGTGTCCTGATGGCAACCTCCAAGACGTTCAGCCAACTCTCGGGAGACTAAGTTAAAAAAAAAAATCTTCCATGCAATCTCTTGGGTTTTTTTATTCCAAGTATTCTGTATCAAAACATAAAACCAAGCAAGATAATACCATGCAAAAGCAAGAACTCGTGATGTTTCCTGAATCCAAACCTCTTTTGCAGTCTCTTGTTGAAAGACACAGAGGGCAAAGTGAGGGAATCAAAATTATTTGAGAAGAGGCTAAAGCAGTTTTCCTAACCAGAGAAAAAGCTGTACCTCTCCCAGCTGGAACTGGCACACTTCCGAAATAGCTCCTGATAGAAACAACACGACATGAGGCCCTCACTCCTGCCAAGGAGCGTTCTCTATTTAGTAGCTGTGGTTTCATAAGGGCTTCCACACTCGCTAAGCTGTGAGGGTCAGTCGCACAAACACTATGCTCAGGACACTTCTGAGAACAGAGTAACAGTTGTTTTGCTGCAGTAGTGTTGATAATATTTTTTGTGTGTGTGTAAAACAAAACATCTCTTTTTCACTATAAAAGATTGCTTGTTCTGAAGCCCGGCTAATTGTGCAAGCGCGTTGCCTGGTGTAGAGCTGTACAAGCAGGAGTGCTGTACAACCAGGCACCCACCTTGTACAGGCAGGCTGCAACAAACACAAGAAGAGCAAACACCAAAGAGGAACTACGAAGTTGTGCCGAGCAACGGACTCGCCTAGCTCTAAAGGTCTTGGCTATAAGTTGTTTTGTCAATAAAAAGACTCGCTCACAGATAGCAGATAGGTACCTTTTATATGCAAAGCAAAACTGCAAGTGAAGACAAGGTAGAAGGGATCGCCCATCAATCTGGGATTTAAAGAACCTCTCCTGAAAACAAGTAAGCACTCCAGCAAGTGGTAAAGTTTGAGAAATTAAAAAAAAAAAATACATCTAAGCAACTCACAGAACAAAGTAAGTCAAAACACCGAGTTCGTCCCTCTAGTAATATTAGACCACAGGGCACAGGTATTTAAACCCAGGCTCCAACAATGTGCATAGAGAAACCTCTTCGCAGGCCCCAGGAGACTTGTCCTCTCCCGTCGGATGCCACTGTGGAAACCCAGCAGCCTCCCTGCAGAGCCGCATTTCGCTGATGACAAACCAGCGAGGGTCACGGTACATCGCTTCAGCCAGCCCTGTCCCCAGCGAGATTCAGAATCACTGGAGATTGTCACCAAGACAGCCTCGGCTGGACTCGGGGTACTCACTGTTGATTTATTTGCTGGGGTTTTGTACTGAACTCCTGTCTCCCTTCCCAGCTGCCAGCATCACTCTCCCTCCATTTCATCTTGTTTCCCTTACTCGGAATCCTAAAACAACTAATGGTACAAGACAAAAGGACTACTTACCTATTTATTCTACTAACTTATATTCTAGGCTCCCTTAACAGTGTGAATGAACACAGAGGAGAGCATACTCTGTTACTCAGGACAGTAAGTAAGTTTTTCTCCTTTAAAGATTCTTAGTTATGGCAAAGCAAATCTGCTTCATCTCTTCGCAGGTTTTAACATTGGTATAAAATCATACACGTGCCAAAACACACCAAGCTAATACTGACATACACAATTCCTCTAACACACAATATCAAAACACGCTATCAGAGTGAAAATAAATGTATTCACTTTTCACATTTTGTAATGGTGTTTCTGTTAGAAGATAAATGGTGTTTTGTTCCTCCAACAAGAGTTTGGCTCAAAGCAGCCACATGTGCTTCTAGCCCCCACATCAGCCTGGCACGATGACGATTCCGAAGTGCAGCACTCCCTGGACACGTGCTAAAGGCCTTCTGGAAAGGACCAAGAACAGCGGGCAGGCAGCAGACCCCAGGAACAGGTAAGTTCTGCCCAGTTCTGCTAGCCTAGCTAACCCCCTAGCAGCCGCTTCCACTGCTGGTGAGACTGCGGAGAGGAGAACTCGTATCGCAAAGGACTAGAGCTCACCCTCGCACCTCTGAGCGTGAAGAGTCACAGCCAGCAAGCAGTCCTCTGAGCACCTACTCAACATCCTACCTGAAGCCAGCTACTGCCCCACAGAAGCAATGAGGCCCTTCCACGGACTGCGCTAAGCTTTAGAAAAACCTCTTCTAGACAGCAATAGAGTTGAGCCCAGAAGTCAGATGTTCAGGTGAGAGTTTCCCCCAAAAGCTTACGGCACGCAATAGTAGCTGAAACTAGTTTAAAACCCCTTAGACACAGCAGCTGGCTTTCCGTGGGCCAGGAGGTTGCCACTTCGCTCCATTTTCTGAAAGTAGGACTCCTTCTTCTGTTCATTATTTGTATCTTGGCCTTACGTTTGCAACAACAGCTCAAGCCTGGTACTGTGCAAGAGTTCTCCCTCCATCATCGGCTACTCAGACTGCAGACTATGGCAGAAAAACGAATAGAAGGAATTCAACTCCCAGATTCTGATCTTCTCTGTAGCACACCTAGCAGGAAGTCCATTAAACATCAAATGTCATTCTGTACCAGCCACCTTCTTAGACACAACCAGCAACTCAGATTCATAACCTATAATCAGTAACTAATTTTCTAAGCATAATCAGTAATCAAAGAATAAACTACAAACACAGGTTTTTCTTTTCACCTACAAAGTAGGCCACAGAACAGATTAAACAACTGAGAGGAGGAACCTATAAAAAGTTATATAATACAAAAATCATGGGGCAAACAGCTAGTAGGTTGCCCTTGTAACATACCGGTTACTTCTCAGCATATTTAGGATTGTGATAGCAAATTACTTCCTTGGCAGAGAAGAAGCAGCTGGCAGAGAAGCTCAGAAGAATGGTCTAAAAACGGACATGAAGACTTAAAAGAAAACAACTGAAAACAAAGCGCAGGCATAAGTGGCCTTTGGAAAGCAGACTATTTCCAGCCTCACCAGGATTCCTTTGGCCAGCAGACCTCCATGCTGGCCAGCAGCCTCTGTGGGTCACCTAGTCCAAATCCCCTGCCGAAGCAGGGTCACCTACAGCAGGCTGCACAGGACCTTGTCCAGGCGGGTCTTGAATATCTCCAGAGAAGGAGACTCCACAACCTCCCTGGGCAGCCTGTTCCAGTGCTCCGTCACCCTCAGAGGGAAGAAGTTCTTCCTCATGTTCAGACGGAACTTCCTGTGCCTCAGTTTGTGCCCATTGCCCCTTGTCCTGTCACTGGGCATTGCTGAAAAGAGCTTGGCCCCATCCTCCTGACCCCCACCCTGCAGATATTTGTAGGCCTTTATAAGGTCCCCTCGCAGCCTTCTCTTCTTCAGGCTGAACAAGCCCAGTTCCCTCAACCTCTCCTCGTAGGGGAGATGCTCCAGTCCCCTCACCATCCTTGTAGCCCTCTGCTGGACTCTCTCCAGTAGCTCTTCACTCAGGCAGTTCCACAGCTCAGGCCCCAGCTTACACATCCGGCACAGACCAGAACAGACATTCCCGTACATTTGAATACTGGGAAAGAGCAGAGTGGGAAAAAAATTTCTGTTAATATTGGCGTT